TGCAATATGCGTTTTTGCTGCCTGTTGCAGCGCTCTAGCGCTGCACGGCAAAAACGCATAATGAGGCACTAGTCAGAGTACAGAGCGAAGGGTGGAGGAAGTGGGGTCTGAGCAGGAGCGAGGCCAATGTGACAAACAACAATGAATGCAAGGGACGAGAAATAATAAGTAGTAACACCGGATGAAACGGGATCTCGAAGCACTGAAAACGTGCTAAGACAAATCCCTGGCATACGCCAAAATCAACCTGCTCACGGAACAAATAATGAAGTCGAATTCGCGACTTACTGCGCCACAACAGTGCTGCTTTCCAATTCACTAACGTATAATACTCAAAAAATACTACAGACAACTTTGCTTTTCTGAAGCACAAGAACATACCATGCAATAAATGGGTACACTTCTCCGAAGAAGTACTTCTCTTGCGTGAATTATCCAACATGTTTTACAGAAGAAATGTTTGCACTGCAGTGCAAAACCATCATCATGAGCTTCAGAAAGACACACGCCGCATACAGTTGTGCACGATTTCTCCGAACTGCTTTCACCCTGCAAAATGTTGCACGTCTAATGGTGTAACAAAAGCTATTCTGCTGCTAATTAGCAAGGAGCTCATGTAAGTTAGTGCTGGTGCGCTATCATGCTCTAAGATCTCAAAACACAGCCAGACTACGCAGTGTCGAAATTCAGTTCTGGCGCTGTTCCAAGCTGATGGGCTAAAATTATTCGTTCCCACATGCTATAGGCTTCAGCCTATAATATTTCCAACACACCCGGCTATTAAATAGATAGAATGAAATGGAATGATTCGAACTTAACATTCCATGTGGAATATGCTAATGCGCATGGTAAGGGTTGGGAGATAGTGTTTTGGAATATGTTTTATAGACATTTTGACATATTCATATCTCATGTGCTGAGAATATGTAGGGATATTTGTCTATGTTTCACCCCTTAGCTGTAAACACAGACAATTGAAGGTGTGGTTAAGGATGGAAATCATCAGTACAGCCCCCTAACCACCATGTAAAGTATTAAATGTGTCGTGTGGAAAGGCAGAACTAATAACTATTAGTCTGAAGCACGTTTGTAATTCTGCATGAACCTAGTACGCTAACATTTATAATTACATCCCAAATCACTCCCAGGAAATTCTGCAGGCAAAAAATGTAGAATTGTAAGAAACCTTATCATCCGAAATGAATTCCATAATTGATGATTGCATCAACAGATCTTCTCCCAGAAACTCGATCGACAAGAACGCTTCTACTGGACAGAGATGAGCGGCATTCAACAGGCACCTCTTCGGAAGAACAATGCTACGACTGCCAGCTTGCTCTGGCTTCACATTTACTATCCATCTGAAATAACCGACAATTTTTCATAAATCGAGCGACGTAACAAAACCTTTGA